AAAAAAAATAGATTATATACCAAGCACTAGGTGTAAGTGATGAATCACTAAATTCTACTCCTGAAAACAATATTACACTGTGTGTGAACTAACTCGAACTTAAATAAAAATTTGAAGGAGAAAAAGATGAAAAAGATTATCTATTAAATGATGTCTAAAGTTTTCAATGACTATAGTATCCTTAAGGCACCAAAGGATATTTACAAGAATACAGGGAGTATAAACAAACAGATAACGGCCTCAGAATTGCCTCTCTGAGCAGCTGACACGGCAGCCCAGTCGAACAGTTTAAGCCCCAACACTCTCAGGTCTGGACCACGATTAGGAAAATGCAGACACCCTAAGGCGTTAACCACCTGGCTTTGTTTTTTTTTTCTCCATCTAGTTAGTACAGAAGAAACCCCAAGCCTCCCAGCCCAGCGAGAGCCTCATGCAGCTGATGGCTAAGGGGGAAAGTGAAGCACTCTCTCAGATTTTTGCCGACTTGCACCAGCCCCGCCAGTTAAGGTACGTGACTTAAACTGGGCCAGTCTGACACCCCTTCTGTAGCCCAGATGGCCTGGGCCATGAGATCCAGAAACCAAATAACTTGGGAAAGGACCAGACGGAGGAGCATGGAACGCTGCACTCAGTACCCAGGCTTTACCCTTGACTAGGGCCAACCTTTTGCCGGTTCTCTTTGCCTTATTCTCCTCCACGCAGCAAGCACTGTAGGCTTGACTCCAGGGGAGGAATGTTATAAAAAAATAAAAAGTAACTCTTCAATTATAAGAATACATTAGTAGCACAGGTGGGAAAGCAAAACCTTGTTTTGAATCCAGTTCCTAGTTCTACAGAGAAATAACTAAAACATTGTTTCAAACGTTATCTACTCATTGAGTTCACCTGGCCTCTGCTGGGATTCAGGGAGCCTCTGTGGTTGTTTTCTAAATGTATAATCTGTTCTGGAAAACTCCATGGTCCAGGCCCATCTTATCCATGCCTGAGGAAATGTCCCTGTGTTGTGCAGGTGACTTAGGATGTAGTCTTAAGACTGGTTGACGTGAGACAGGCGTTGAGGGCACTTAGATCACAGGGTACCACGAGCAGAGCACAAAGATAACGTGGGAACCGGTGTCCTAGAGAACCGAAATCAGTTGCTAAATGTCACCAGACGAGAAAAATGACGTTTTAGAAGATTTTTGTCACAACGGGGACCAGCAACTCAGAGATACAACAGAAAAAAAAAGAGGCTTTTTTCCTGAGTGCTGGGGATAAACCAGTAGAGTTGGAGGGAATAATCTCTTACGGTGATTAAGAGCTCATGCAGCCCTGGGCACAAGTCACTGCTCTGACCGAGAGCCCTTGGGCACATTGTTTCATTTTTCTGGTCCTAAGTTTTCAGATCTGCAAAATGGAAACTATGATAGTGTCAACCTCATCCAGATATTGTAAGATTAAATGAGCTCATACGCATCAGTACTTGGCAGGGTCCTCAGCAGATTTAGAGGCAGACATAAGGAGATTCTCAATATTAACTTGTATCATTAACTTGGGCTGGAAGCTGTAAAGTATTAACACAAGAAAAAAACTTGTTAGTTGCCCACTGCTAAAGAATTTATACCGGAGGTTGTCACGCTGTGTATCATACAGAGATCTGTAGTTAAGAAATTTCTAGGTAAAATGTAGCATTGCTGAGCTGGTGACCCCTGGACTCTAATAGAGCAAGATACATTGAAACAACTTTATGACTGTCTCAAAATGTTAAATCATGGATTTTTTTTTTTTTCGCTGAAGGATAGCTTTTGTTTATATTCATGGCCGCAATTCAGTCCCATGGCCATACCCAACTACAAGGGAGCTGGGCAACGCACTCATCATTGTGCATAGAGTACATAATCATGTGCCTAATACAAAATTAGATGCTCTGTCCCCGAGGGAGAAGGGAAGAAGGGATACTAGGGGTCTATTGGCCAATTCTGGCACAGGCAGCTTTTAATATTTCCAGAAGGTCAGAGCAGTGTAGGAGCATTAGGCACTAACCAGATAAAGGGTGGAGAATGCTGTGCAGGTTAAGGGGACAAACGAGGTTTCGTCCTGAGGAAGAGACTTGGTGAGTTCGGAGAAGGAGAAGGAAGGGCCAGTGGGGAAGCAGCGGTGGCGGAAGGACCTAAGTACAAGTGGGCAGGGTCTGGGGCACCTGGGTGGCTCAGTCGGTTAAACGTCCGACTTTGGCTCAGGTCATGATCTCACAGTTCGTGGGTTTGAGTCCCACGTCGGGCTCTGGGCTGACAGCTCAGAGCCTGGAGCCTGCTTCTGATTCTGTGTCTCCCTCTCTCTCCACCCCTCCCCTGCTCACGCTCTGTCTCTCTCTGTCTCTCAAAAATAAATATATGTAAAACAAAAC